TCTGATGTAGTAGGAGTCTTGAATACCTCGTATCTGTTGGCATCCACAATAACGACCCGTGAAGGTCCGGGTTAGGATATTGATCTTCAGTAACCCATGCTTGTTGTAAGAGGCGACTAACGGGATGGGGTGGTCAGGCTCGCTGGCTTGGTGGACACATGTCATCGGTTCCCAATTGCGCAGATCGACGCTTATGCTGTTGATCACTGGATTGTTTGGTCCAGACTCGATTATTTACAGACCGCCGCCATATAGCTTGAATATAGCTGAGTACGGCGTAAAACTAAACACACTCACTCCACAATAGCCTGGCAAACTTGGGGTACGATGCGGTGTCTTGATGACTTGTTCATCCTGTAGCTGTAAGCCATGCTTGGATACTGGTCACTAGTGGCTAGATGTCTTAATGTCAGTGACAGTTTGAACCCTGCTTCCAAAGAGGGTCTGCAATTGCCTTTTCCTATGATGTTCGGCCCTATTCTCTCCAAACAGTACAAAACATAAGTTTCATTAACGCAGTAATATGTGTACGCTGCCCTATACTGATTTTGCTGATTTGGTTACAACTGAATTATATAAAGCAGGGTTGTTTAAAATGATACCTTGGGGCACAAGTTGTATTTTCACCGTACTTTGATATAAATCAAACGTACATTTTTGCATGTACGTTATAAAGAGGGGTTTCAACGACCACTCGTAAAATGGGTTTATTAATCGGCCAGATAGCTGGTTAACCCGTAGTTATCTTTGCCTGTCAACACTGAGAGCTCTTTGGAAAAAAGCACTGCGATTGGAGTAAAATGCCCCCCGTATTTCAAATTTGAACTATACCACCCAGTCCACATTCAGTTAACATACATTTCGACGAGCCTCGTTTTGGGATCCAGCACCTGGGGCAAAGCTAGGCGATAGAAAGAAAGAGTTATATTATCTGCTTTTCTAACATTTTTGTGAGTTTATTTTGTTCACATTTCTGTATATACTTGTACATAACATATCAATGTACTGTATATATGCGAAACATTATTTTTTTACTTGTGCGAAGAAATATGACAAGTATAAATATTGAGTCGAACTTGGGTTATTCCGCCGTGACAATGCGTAGGTGACGAAGGTTTAGACAGGGACGACAACTCGCACGTATTTACATTGTTGTATAAATCCAAGTGATGTGTTGGGCATAAGTTGGCATCCTTGTGGGCCCCAATCCAACACACAAATCGATATATTGGTGATCGCGACATGGTAAACCTGATGAGAAACGTTGTTCTCAATCATATTATAACTCTCAAAATAAATCATAACAAATACATACCCCTTTTCCTAATTGCTATGTTAGCGGTGGATTACCAGTGTTCTTTACATATTTGGGTCATTCTACCGAAAATGGTAATTTGCTGTCCCCACTGACATAACGCTCAATGTTTTCAATTGCATGAAATGATTTAATGAAATTATTTTTCTTTATAGACACATGGCACCAAGCTTACTAATCCCTAAATAAAGGATATTTTATTCTTGGCTAAATTTTGGAAAATAATAGACGAAGATGGGCAATAAAATTATTTATGCATGTCCCAATCTCCAACCTCTTTTTCATTTTTGGGTGTCAAAATTTCAAAATTGAATATCATTATGTATCTTTGGGTCAGTTTTAAAGAATATGTTTGAATGGTACAATTATTTTACAATTAATAAGAATATATAAAAACAAAATCTGAAAAATTTAGATTTACAAAATGTCCCTGAAGATATTGTCATTACGGTGATCGGAATAAAAGTAACAGGAATAAATAAAACGGAAAAAAGTAACAGATTTTGCTAGGAAAAAAGTAACAGGAAAAAAGAAACACATTTTCAGTTGTTTGTTTTTTATTTATTAACAAAGTTTAAACAAAACAATTACAAGCACATTTTTTGCATCCATAAGCAATGTTCTCAATTCTCAGTTCTAAGTAAATGTTCTTATTGAGTCTAATATTCTAATGTTCTGACCAACCCCAGTCAGGAATTCGGAGATGGACAGGCTACAGGCTGCACAGTGTGCACACGAGGCCTTGATTCTACGCTGGACTTACACCATATTCTTCTTCCTCCTGACTGACTCCATATTCTTCTTCCCCCTAGTTTTCTTCAGTCATTACCGCAACAGACAGAATTAACACTGAAAAAAATATGGATTGTCTCCCTTGAAACACTGTGATCAGCTCCAACTTCCACTAGATTGCATCATTGCTGGTCATGTGCTCAAAGGAGGCATGCTATATCATAGCACTTAAGAGTGGGATTCACATTACATTTTGTCTCACAGTGGTATTAGTGTTGATGAAATAAGAATTTGATAAAAACAGTTGCCAAGGTTTTGTGAATCAACTGTTAGTGCTTACAAATTACTTGGTTAGTTTAAATTTTTTTTGGTTTAATTCACAAGAAAATAACATTTTCCAAAGTTAAACTATATTAAAAGCACTTAATCATGATAATTTATACTATATCTGTCATGTTGAATTGGTAAAAACAAGTAAGATAGTGTCATTAATCATATTTGGTTGTTCCTTAAAGCAAAGTTATTTCAAGTTATCTACTTTGAGAAGCAAACAATTTGCTGTGGGTCTGCTGCGTGTTGTCAATAACATATTAACATAGAAAATTGTAGCAAACTGTGGTTACAAAGATTAAATTATAGAAGGTCACATGCAACGTAAAACGCAGCTTACAGATTCTGATACCTTTCGGTATGGACTTACAGATACAAATCATCAAAAAAGCAAATTCAACTTACAAAGTTGAAAAATAACGCGATGAAAACCCCCCAGCGAAATCGGAGTTCAAACGATTCACTAAATTCACCCCAGCGCTTGGGGTGAAAAGTGGTTTGAACAGCTGTGCTGCGCTGGGCTGGGCTGCGCTCATATAGCACATGCGCAGTGAAATAGGTTCGCGCAGCTTAGAAGCGGGATGTCAGGATTATAAGGTCGTGAGCAGGAGTAGTCTAATCAAAACAAATAGTAAATAATCTACTCATTACATAAAAGAACCTTGTTAGGATCTAGATCTACTCAGCTATGTGTCAACCAGTGAGGCGTTCGACATTTCAAGACGGAAAACCATCGCTGGCGGTGATTACTCGGTGAAGGCTTTGATATTTTTCTAATATTTTGTTGATATTTCACAGGCGGGAGCTTTTTACATGTTATGACAGTAGATTACCGATTTAACTTTTTATATAATTTCATTTGTCTAATTCACCACACGTTCTTCTTACCGAGTCACTTTCTCAGTTCGATACGTAAAAGCAATGTCATTATTTTGCGTTGACAGAATTTTTAACTGTGATATATATATGTCGTTGTCACAGGCAAAACTACATGTCTGTTTTATTGACACATATGTGTCTGCCTGCCTGTCTGCTAATGACAATATTCAATACACAACTTCGATCACTGACCACATGCAATTTGAACTTAACACCTATCAGGCTATACACCATAAACAAAACGATTTGATTTATGGCCCGAGTTCCGTCTCTGTCAGGGCGGTGGGGGTAGCCTAATGGTTAAAGCGTTGGCTCGTCACGCCGAAGACCCGGGTTCGAATCCCCACATGGGCACAATGTGTGAAGCCCATTTCTGGTGTCCCCCGCCGTGATATTGCTGGAATATTGCTAAAAGGGGGGTAAAACCAAACACAGTCCGTCTCTGTCACATTATGTAATTACACAGACAGGCAGGTGTGATACTTGTACACATGACATGTTATGTCGTCCTTATGTTATACACACAAAAAATGAGCATGTATTTACAAAACCCAACATCTCTATATACACACACACAATGAGCCGCGAGGGCATTGGCAAATGAACCAGCCGTTACACTTGAGTGCACACCCACCCGCTCTGACTAGGTTCGGTATCCCGGGTGCTTCGTTTCGAGGGAAATAAACCCAAGTACAAAATATTGCACTTTTGATTTGCGATTGTAAGCTTATAATTTTGTTTATACGTTTTTTCATAATCAGCCATGTATATTATATGTCATGAATAAGTGATAATTGTGTTTTAATTATGTTTGATTTTTGGGTTGCATGTGACCTTTAAGCCTCAATGTTTTATGTTCATAAATCTAATGTTTTATAATAAGACATTGCTTGGAAAATGATAAAGGATAACTATATTCTTAAATTTGTTTACGTCCATGTGATTACCAAAACGACAAGTCACTACCGCAATTTCTATGTCATTACCAAAACAGGACAAATTATTTATGATTACACAACGGATTATTTCTTTAAAGCCGATTAACTTATGATGGGGGTCAAAAGAATTCAATGTTTTATTCTTTTCTGATAACTGTTTGAGATAAGAGCTATTGTTGCCTCAGTTATTATGTTTACGTTCTTGCTAAAAACTTAAAAAATCATAAAGGCATGAAAACAATTAATAATAATTATAATAATAAAATGGATTCTTATATTGCGCTAAACTCCACACCAAAGTGTGCTCAAAGCGCTAACTGAGTTCGTAGATATCACATGTGTGTTTACAGTCCATTTCTGTTGAACAGGTAGGTCTTAAGATGTTTCTTGAAACAAGTTAGAGTTGAAGTTGATTTCAGATCAAATGGGAAAGCGTTCCATTCAACAGCAGCATTGTATGCGAATGATCTTCCGCCAAATGTCTTGAGCCTGATGTTTGGGACCTTTAGTAGCATTTGATCACTGGAACGGAGAGTTCTTGTAGACATAGACTTCTGCTAGACCACACAGATAACCAGGAGCTGTATCATTGATACACTGATATGTGAGGGTAAGGATCTTATGATGTATCTGTTCTTTGACCGGCAGCCAGTGGAGATACCTGAGTACTGGAGTGATGTGACAGGACTTTGTTGACAGTGTGACAATTCTAGCCGCTGAGTTCTGGATGGTTTGCAGCCTTCTGATTTGTTGCGCTGGAGCCCCTACAAGCAGACTATTACAATAGTCAATACTGGCGAGTTTCCGGTGGATTGTCCCTCGCAGGCGCCATTCTCGCTCCTTTCACTGGAGGTCTGTCCATCGCACTTATAGCAGTAGGTGGAGGAATGGGAGTAGCTACCGGGGTAGGTGACCTGACAACTCAAGCAATTGAGTTCACCGTTGTCAACAAGGCAATAGAAGACGCCCAAGCAGAACTCGACCGGCTGAGTAGGAAACTGAAGAAATTAGTCGAAGAACTAACAAGTCGACTGAAAGGCTACGGAATGTCAGCATATGAAATTGGGCGGATGTTAAAAACAAGTGGTGGCATGGCATATGGGGTTTATTCGTTCCATCAACAAACCAAGAAAGCCATTGCCATCGTAAGAGCAGCGTCTCATGCTCAGAAGATTGCACTGTCCCTAGACGGTGGACAGGTTGTTGCCGATGCTGTTGAAGGTGCAGTGGCCGGAGCGAGAGCAAATCCGAAACTCGCAGGTGGGGTTGCTGGGTTTAAGGCTCTCAGCAAGGGTGCCAAAGCCCTCCGCGTTGCCGGTGGTATTGGGACAGCGATAGGAATTGGTTTGAGCATTAAAGGACTTGTTGAAGACAGCATCAAAGTTGAAATTAATGTATCTGAAGTGGCAGATGTGCTGGAAAAAATGGCCGACAAGTTGAAGGAATGCTGAACCATCACGAGCGACTGCATGTATGTATTGAACAGAGGTGTTCACGTGACACAAAGGGGAATAACTCTCTCATCGGCCAGAGTATATAATTCCACAAATGGCAAATCCACTATTCATTTGTATCTGTGGTATAAGGCGTTGGTACATTTCATAACATTGCGCTGTCTATTTTATCAATCTGTTATCTTCTCGTATATCTGGTTTCTCACTGCATTGCCACCCTGAAACATCAATTGTATTAATAAAACAGATGCGAGTCAGGGTGAAGCCCTACCTCACGACATTGACATATCTGAATGTGTGTTCACTAGAATAGCAGACAGAGAATATGTTGTGACCACGTGTCCTTTCGTTTCTGTCCAATGATTATTGTTTATACGTGACATATATTTTGTTTACTTTCAGACAAAATGACTCTTAATCTCAGACAGTCTGTACTTTACATTGGTTCCTCTTTAATGTATTCTCTGGGATGTATTACAGAATTTTGTATATTTGAACATTTGTTATTGTTTTATGTACATGGAGTGCCCAATCGTCGCAAATATGTTAACTTGTAGAAGAAAATATACAAGATTTCTTCACATTCTTCACATTTTGTGATTAGAATCCGTCATGCACCCGAATGTGTATCGTCACATTATATCAGTTGTACAGTCGTACACGTTTGTACATGTATGTTCCATATCATCCATACGACCGCCTCCGCAGTGTAGTGGTTAGGGCGTCCGCCTGGTGAGCGGAAGGTCGCGGGTTCGATCCCCGGCCGCGTCATACTAAAAGACGTCAATATATGATACTTGTTGTTCCCTGCCTGGCGCTCGGCATTAATGGATACAACGGCTCGGAGTCAGTATAATGTGTCTGACTGGGGTATTCATGCTCAACTGCGGTATAGTACATCAGTGAGTTAGCACAATAAGACCATCTAGGTCTGTGCACGCACGTCGTCATATGAGTGAAATATTCTTAAGTACGACGTTAAACCCCATTTCACCTCGCTATATCATTCACACAGACAGATTTGTCAGCTCCGCACAATAGCTAGTTGTAAAGGGACAGGGCAAGCACATTTCGGTTTTGTCGTTCAAACGCAATTTAAAAGCAGCCAATTCAAAGTTTATTTGAGGTGAGAAAACAGCCGTAGTTACATATCACTACAATGAATACACCGTGAGTAAATGTACAAAAAGTTTGATATAGATCTATTTACACATAATAAAAACATTTAGGCGAAACATTGTGTATTCAGTCTCATCCACAGAGGAAAACATGTTAACAGCTCTGAAGCATAGTTGTAAAAATCCAGTATGTTCATCACTAATGTTAACAGAAAAACAGACTATGACTATACCATATTCTACAGGATGAATGACAACTGTTTGCCAAGTGAAACAACACACATTAGATGTTGTCAACCTGTTGTTTGAATATTGTCATGGGGTCACAGGTGAGGCAACCTGCAAGAGCATACCGAGAAAATGGTGTTTCACAAAAAAAGCCGATCCTGCTGAAAGGTTTCTAAGACAATATATTAAAGGTTCTGGCATTCTTGCCCTCATGAAAGAAGCATTTCGTTAAACGGCTGAACTTCTGAGTTCTGAGACTTCACAATATCTTGAGAATCACATTTACCATTTTTGGGAATTTTTTGGAATGTACAGGAATTGTCACCAACAACAGCTTCACTCAATAACGCCAAGTGCATTGGCCATATTTGCAACAACATCAGCAACGTTGTTTTTGACATCGTTCAGGATCGTTGACAATTCATCGTTGCAAACCTCCTTGATTTCGAAGGCAACACCAGCAGGTTTCATTACTTTACCAGCCTTGATCTTTCTTAGGGAGGTTATCCCTCGTCTGAACTTATATAGCGATGTTGTGGACACCAACCTCCTCTGGCTTTAGACCAACGGCCACCCACTGGACTTGTAGCGTCTTGCCCGTCTTCCACATTTTGGGGGACAAGCCAGTTTCGTTTTGTTCTGCATTAATGTGTCATAGTCTGGGACATCTGTATATTTCCTTTTCCTTCTTAAGGCCGCGATTAACTCCTGTGTTTTTTTCTGTCGGCTGGTCTAGAATACTCTGAACCCCGGCAATACGTTTTGTCATCTCCTGAATAATTTGACGGTTTGGAGTCAAATTCGAATTTCAGCCAAGACAAATCCAAAACATTTCTGTATATAGTAATCGGTATAGATGAGAGTAGTTATAACCGACCAATTGTTAAAAGTCTAAGCCGAGGAAGGGGTTATTAGTTTATGAAAAGCAGTTGCACTATTATATAATTCTTCTATATAGTGTAATTAGGTCCCGAGACCTTCTTGTTCCGAATCTGGTTTAGAACAGATCCCCAGCAAATCATACTGGTCCTGGGTGTTTAAATCCCTTACCGGTGAAGTTACAATCGGTTTTAAGCGACCCATTCCTGTCGTAAAAGGCGATCAAGGGGATCGTGTGGTCAGGCTCGCTGACCTAGCTGATGCCTGTCTTAAAAGGCGATCAAGGGGATCGTGTGGTCAGGCTCGCTGACCTAGCTGGTAGTAAAAGGCGATCAAGGGGATCGTGTGGTCAGGCTAGCTGACCTAGCTGGTGCATGTCATCACAGACAATGCTCATGATGTAAACCATTCTTCGCATTGAAATTCACAAAGAAGAAATTCCATATATTAAAAGAACTCCTTATTTCAGGTTCTACCTTGATAGGAAACCAAACAACAAGATGCCTAAATGTACAAACATCTGCAGCTGAGAAACTCAAGTCATTGTCAGAGCTCATAAGAAAGCAACAGGAGGAGGCCAATATTGCCAAGGGACAATTGCGTCTGCTGATGGTGCAGGGGATGATACTTTGTGGGGCAGTTGCGAGTTTTGTAACTTGGGGAATGTTCGCGGTACTTATGGGTGCCGGAGCTACAGCTGGAATCACCGGTGTGGCCGGGGAAATGTTGGTGTCCTGGTTGGAATCTGAGGCCAGTAATTAGAGATTTTGTTTGTTTGTTGATAAACGCCGCACTTGGCAATTTTCCAGCCATATGAAGGCGGTCTGTAAATAAAAGAAGGAATCTGGAAAAGACAATACGGTGGTTTACATCATGAGCATTGAGCTATGAGATAACGCAGAAAATTAATCAAAAGACGCCAAAACTGACGTTTTTACGGTTCGTTCTGACATGCTATAATTCTTGTTTGTTTGTTCTAATCGTGTGCTTGTGTTCGTTGGTGTGAACCTGTTTCTGTGTTCTAGATTTAATTACGTAGATATTTCAAACAAGGCTGATAGATCTTGAATTTATGGTGCCATTTTTGGTATTTTAGAATGCGTTCCGTGTAACATTTGTAGTTTAGTCCGAGTCAGTCCTGCATTGGCAAATACGGGATGCCACTAATGGTATTTGATGTCGGTGCTTCTAGCTTATTCAGAGGTGGATTTTGTTCAACATTAGCATCTACAGACATGTCAGACTAAGACTACAAATAACATAATTATCAGGCTATTAAAATATTTAATCCTTTAGGACGATTTTTGATAGCATAATCATGGATATTCAGATTAGGTGTGTGTCCTGTATTCGTGGTAGCAAAAATAATTTTACCTGAATTACTGTTACCATGGGAACAGTCCCCATCATGTCCATTATCTACCAAGACTGCCATGTGTACCGTTGTCTACCAAGACTGTCATGGGAAAGATTTCCGCCCGTAACCCACGTATTGTTTAAAATCATTATATGCTTAAGAAAATGTGTCTATGTTTTTATAAACAGCCTATGCATAACCCTAAACCTAACCTAAAATCTAACCCTAAACCCTCGAAATAATCCTAATAAATAGAATACATTTCAAGCGGGGGTTACGGGCGGAACTCTTACCCTGTCATGCCTGCCATTGTCTACCATGTGTCTCCTGTCACAGATTTAATTAGTACCTACATATTTGTTTAAAATAGGGTGATTATTTTATCCCCTGAAGAACACACAGAAATCAAAAAGCCCTTAAAACATGATGATACTGAAATATGAGAATAATAATCACAAGTCAGTCCAGGCAGATGTATTTATTATTATTTTCAGCTATTACAACTTATACATGTTGAAAGTTAAATCAAACTTAACGCTATGGCCATTGTAGGTCTGTGTTAAAGTATGGGAGTCACGATTGTTGTGGTGTTAAGATTGCTTTGTGCATATGTAGGACTCCACGAGGATAATTTGTTTTCCAATTTTATAGATTTGAGGAGCATAATGTCGACGTGTACAGTGTGCAGTCTCACTGTCAATTCCCCGGAACAGCTGCAGCAGCATATGAAAGGAAAAGCACACAAGAAGAAGATGATGGCTGCAGGACTGCCTGTGGAGGGTGAGTTCAGCTGAGATCAAACGAGAACAATGAATGACAAAATAACCCAAATCGTGAATTGTCTATTAAATGTCAGTATGGTACATGGCAATTTATACCCTATACTAAATAATATTGCTATTTTTATACCTATCATTGGAAAATGTTGTTTAAGAAAATATCCTGTTGCTAGGTGTACAAGTTAAAATGACCGCTTCCGTAATCTACTGGTTAGAGCGTCTGCCCGGAGAGCGGAAGGTCGCGGGTTCGATCCCCGTCCGCGGCATACCCAAAAACGTTAAAATATGGTACTTGTTGGTCCCTGTCTGGCGCTCGGCATTAATGGGTACAACAAGGACTGGTCGGCTCGGAGTCAGTACAATGTGTCTGAGTAGGGTATTCATGCTTCACTGCGGCATGGTGTCTCAGTGGGCTAGCACTATAAACCCAGCTTAAGTCTGGTCTAGTACAAGCAGCCGCACATACACATACACACGCATGCACGTCGTCATATGAGCGAAATATTCTCAAGCACGACGTTAAAACCCAATTTCACCTCACCTCACAAGTTAAAATTTTAATGTAGAGGAACACAACAGTAGGAGGAACAGAGGAACAGAGCAAACAAACCTACACAACATAGTATATGTCGTTGTTGAGATGTACTGCTCAGCTAATGTGAAACAGTTGAGTTTTAATGTGTATAATTTATTTCACCGGTTGATTGTTCTGTCAGTTATGAAATCACAAACAAGCATATGTAACAGTTTCTTCTTATTATTGGAGAATCAAGTATGATTTGAGTTATTTACCTTAGGTACTTGAGTAAAAAATTGGGACTCTTTTGAACCCTTCTTGTAAAATGCGGGAGAGTGGCTTAAATGAGCAAAAAGAGGTGGATTTGTTTCAACTTCAAGGGAAACCTCCTTATACATGCAAATATGTCACTGTGATGAATGTTTCATCATATTTGATTTTTGAACTGTCATAAGCCTGTAATCTCCTGAAAACTTAGCTAGGGTCACCATGGTCTAAGACTTGCCCTTGAAAGCCTCTGACATCAGCATTTTGGCAGATTTTATTCTCTTCAACATTAGGTGAGGTGAGGTGAAATTGGGTTTAACGTCGTGCTTGAGAATATTTCGCTCATATGACGACGTGCATGTGTGTGTATGTGTATGTGCGGCTGCTTGTATTAGCCCAGACTTAAGCTGGTTTCATAGTGCTTGCCCGCAGAGATACAATGCCGCAGTGAAGCATGAATAACCCACTCAGACACATTGTACTGACTCCGAGCCGACCAGTCCTTGTTGTACCCATTAATGCCGAGCGCCAGGCAAGGACCAACAAGTACCATATTTTAACGTTTTTTGGCTCTTTAACGCTCTCCGGGCGGACGCTCTAACCACTACAACACGGAGGCAGTTTCAACATTAGGTGGCGTTACATATCAATAAGCTGACAAGTTGTTATATACTGCACGGTTACACCAACACAATTGTCACCCACAGTGTTTCAACTGTTTGTTCTACATAAAGAATACGTAGTGTTACCGAAGGATTACTTTAGTTTATTATTGTCAAAAGGCAGCTTTGATACTGTTTCCAGGACTGACGAGCACACCAGGAGTAGGTGCAGTTTCACAGGAACAAGAGGTGAGCCACCACAACAGCAGCAGTTTGTGTCCATCCAGTATTGCCGGGCGGCTCTCTTACTAGTAACAATGGAGTATGTTCAAGTAGAGGAGAAGGCCAAGATGTAATTGCCTTTGATACAACACAGATTCGTAATCATTCAAGCACTAATACTTGCTAAAAATGACTGCGTGGGGATAGCGGCTTGTTTAAACCCGGAAGAGAAGCCTTATCTATATCAAAGCCACTGTATTTAACACAGACTAAACTTCTAACCGTCACTTTAATATATATAGAGATAGATGTTTATAGATGTAAGTGCAGTAGCAAGGGATAGTTCCTGTTCATCAGGGCTAATGAATGTTTTTAACTACTGGTCAGATGGGTCAGTATTGCTTTATAGTTATGGTGGGACCCGTGAAGGTCCGGGTTAGAATATTGACCTTCAGTAACCCATTCTTGTCTTGAGAGGCAACTAACGGGATCGGGTGGTCAGGCTCGCTGACTTGGTTGACACATGTCATCAGTTCCCAATGATCGATGCTCATGCTGTTAATCACTTGATTGTCTGGTCCAGACTCGATTATTTACAGACTTTATTATTTACCGCCGCCATATAGCTGGAATATTGCTGAGAGTGGCGTAAAACTAAACTCACTCACTATAGTTATGGTGGGAGGTGGAGGAACAAACCTTTACACGCATTACTAGAAAGAAGTGACATAAAGTCATATTAACTTGATCACATCTGATTTGGTGTGATTTATTTCCCTGATAGCCTGGCAGTGTGAAGAAGCGTAAGTCTACAGAGGGGGCAGGCAGAAGCAGGGATGTGTTCTCTGTGCAACATAGTCTTCAATTCAACTGTGCAAGCCCAGCAACACTACAGCGGCAGCAAACACTTCAAGAGGATGAAGATTGTGCATGGCAACTTACAGAAAACTCAAGAAGAAAACCAGGGTGGTAAGGGAGATAACTATGCAAAACTTGTTATAACATTCAGTGAACTAGATGTAAGACTTGGCTACCTTCACATTCAGTTATGGGGAACACAATTCCTCATAGTGTTTTTAGCAGTCACAGGCTATTGTTATGTTATGCAGCTTGTACTGAATCATGTTAAAGTTAATCAAACAAATAATGAAGAATGACTTTTTATAACATGTTATATTTGGGATTACACTTTCTTAGTAAAGGACAGATTCTTGTGCTTTTTTGTTTGGTTGAGTCCCATCTGATGTTGAAGCTGCGATGGCTGAGGGGGTTGGAGGGCTGACTTTGTGTGCTGGCAATTAGCTGCCCGACTCTGAGGGTGTGGGTTCGAATCCTGGATGGGACTCAACCCAGCAAAAATACTAGAATATGTACTTTACTTGGAAAGTGTAATCCCAAATAGAAAATGCATTACATTTAACCACTTTCTAAATTCCATTGTGTATTCTTTTGTATCATAATACATGTATTAAAACAGCCAAAGATTGAGTAATTTCTGCTGCTTGGAACTGATGTGTCAACTAGAGTTATATTGTCACTTCAGTGTATATGGATGAGTGGCACAGTGAAAGTAAATCACTATTTACAGGGATGAGGTGGCTGCTGTAGTCACCTGTAATGGTGTTGTGCAAATGTCCGACAGCTGTGTATTTTGTGTAAGAGCATAGAGTACCAAAAACCAATGACCAATATTGGCATCCCCAGAGTTCATGATGCCCACGGGTGGTGGGGTAGCCTATTGGTTAAAGCATATGCTCATCATGCTGAAGACCCAGGTTTGATTCCTCACATGGGTACAATGTGAGAAGCCCATATTTCTGGTGTCCCCTGTCGTGATATTGCAGGAATATTGCTACAAGCGGCATAAAACCCAACTCGCTCATGATGCCCACTTCCCACAAATAGTTGAGCATGTCCAGCAGTACTTACTACTGTGGTAAAAGTCGATTTACCCTTGATAGTCATTTTAATAGTACATGTGCCAATATCTGGTTATTGCAGAAGCTGGGCCTACGAAGGCGACTGGGATGTTACACTGTGGCTTCTGCAAGATACAGGTCAACTCCTAGGAGCAGCTAGATAAACACAGAGAAGGTGGGGAGTAGCAAAGTGCACATGTTTTGCTATAACAAACACAGTCAGTCTCGTCTCCTGTTATGTGGGATAAGGCTGCTACAGCTGTAACATGTTAGCATTCCATTCTGTTAGGCTAACAGATGATTGGCTCTTGGGCAGCTATGTTACATTTTTGGGGGTAACATATTTTTTATGGGCCGTGGTGCATCAGGAGTCAGATGTTCTATTTTGTCTCCCTCAGAGTTATTGAGAGGCTATTGAGTAGGTGACTTTGGTTTAATGAACAGTATTCCAAGTCTTTCATGGCATGGCCACTTAATGTCGGAGAAATCTCCAAGTGATGCAGATGTTCAACGTGTTGATGAAACCCAGAGCATGGATAGGGTCCCGACAAACCTAGAAACATAATCGATGGCAGGAGTTGAAATCACAATAATTGGTTTCTGGCATGCCAAAGGAATGCATTACTGTTTGATATGTCAACCCATGCCCTTTTCAGTTCAAGAGAGGCTGGATGCCTCAGAATCAGGTGAGAGGGACTGAGAACATGATTGAGGAATAGTTTGCCTTATTTTCATAGTCATTAAACTTTATGATTAAGGCATCTGGTTAGATCAGGTGCCCAGCATCCAATAGCTGCTTGTAAGAAGGGAAGTCAGGGTTTCTGACTGATTGTAAGTCTTCAGACCACATTGGTGTGGGATGTTGCGACTGCTTCAGTTGCTGGTTTGCTTTGATTATTTGTGGCACAACATTCACTTTCTCACTTTTTGAAATATACACCAAAGTGTAGGGGTGGAAATAACCCATTGCCAAACGTCCCAGTCCAGTGTTTTTTTCTGTCGGGCATGCAAATTTGTATATCACACTGTACCGGTGTCCAGTTGACTTCCCAATGTTCATCATGCTGCTTATTTAAAAACCAACAAGAAAATCGTCCTGTATAGTGGAAACGTTATCACGGCAAGTGATTTTACATGTGCCACTGTACCGGAGTACACAAGCAATTTTAAAGTTATTCCCCCTGAAGTGCATTGATCCTGCCTTCACAGACAAAGGATATTGTATTCTGCAGGTGCCAAACACAAGAAGAACCTTGAAAGGTTAAAGACCATGGCTCCAATTAAGAAAGTGACAGTGATGCCGGACCAGACCGCAGTCAAGGCAATTGACGTGCCGTTGACATTACCATCGTTTGAAACATATCTCTCCACATCGTTCGTGAAGGCCAAGGAAGCGACCCAGTCAAGCATGCCAGCTCTGGACTCACACCTTAAAGGTTGAACCTGCCACTTTCAGGTTTGTACTGATATGGTTAGACTCATTTCCTGTCTAACACTGTGACTGTTGTATTTCTAAACTTAATATGATCTGTAGAATAAGGGTGGCTTTTTTCAGATTGCCTCTCGTTTGTAAACTGCCCGGTTTCTAGAGATGGAGGTTGAAATAATGACAGGTTTATAGACAAGGGCTGAGTGAACAAGAGCCAGGTTTTAAGACAAAGGCATAACTAAGTCAGGTTTGTAGATGAAGGTGGCACTAACAACAGAGGTGTGTAGGCTGACTCTACAAAGGGAAGACTGTTTCAGTACTGTAATGGTCATTAATCCTACACTTCAACGGCAGTCATAGCATTACACTCAACAGGAAGGCTGATATGCTATTACATAACTGAAACACTGGCACATCAGCTCCATCGTTGCAGCTGTATTTTTGCTGTGCTTGTGATAGTGTTTGAGACTTTTCTGTCTTTCATAGGTGATACATTCTCACCATTTGGTTGAAGTCACTTTTAGCTTGATGTAAGAATCTACATCGAAATGTTGCTCTATGCAATAAACAAGAAGTTGTCATCAATAAAGTTGTATGTTTCTTTTTTGACTCGCCCACTTCTAGAATGCTGATCAAACAATTAGGTGATGGCTAGATTTTGTTCATAGCACAGCCTTGACTGATTGCATCAGTATGTAGAATATCATGTTCTCCTGTTGTTTCCAATGTGTTGTCCATCTGAAGTGTAGTGAACTGAGCATAAGGTCGATTGTTTTGATCCCCGGCTCACATACCAGAATACTTCAGTAGATGGCACTTCCTTGTTTCCCTGCCTGAAACAGGGCATTATTGGGATTTAACAAGGACTGGTTGGTGTGCAGGTATTATACTGTGTGTGGGAGAGTTGGGTATACATGTTAAACTGAGGCATGGTATCTCAGTGGGCTAGCACTAAAAATAACTGGCATCAGTCATGGCTATTACAAGCCCAAACACACCATGCCATACCACACCACACCTTGTGCATGCTTTATAGGTCTTCTCACCTCCACAGCCACCAGTATCAAGATTATATCTTTATTCTTGTTATATAACATTGGCGGATTTGGTAGTGATTTTCTGATTGCTTTTGTTATACATGTATTCTATTTTGTTCTATTCTATAGAGTGTTTTATAAAATCATTGATAAAAATAATGATAGTTCCATAAAAATGAGCTTTTCTCCTTTTACAGCTTTGCAAGATTGTGATATATATGACTCAACAAGACTTTGATCGTGCCATTCCTGCAACATTCTGGTGCCAGTGACAAGTTCCATATGGCAGTTGAAGACACAGCATCAAGAGTGTGCACAAGTACTCAGTATAGAAACCACAGATACCCTTCTGCCTGTGTGACTACAGTACATTGTTCCCAGCTCTCTAAGGGCCACACAGACTCAACCTGATACAACAGCAGTTCCCTGGGGTACCACTTGTTGTCGATAGTTTCCCTCCACTTTATGTTTATATCTTAGAACAGTATTTCTTTGAAGTACAAGCCAGTGTTGGACACTAAAGGACAGGTCATATTCATCATATGGGGGTGGTGGGCTGGCGAGATTAAGGTAGGAGTCATGGAATAATATCACAACAAAAGAGGTGGGATTGCTAAAGGGTCAGGGTGGGGGTAAAGCATGAAAACATTACACAGTTCTAGTGTCTTAAAGAAATCTTTTTATGACATCGAACATTGTTGAAAATATACAGGAAATAATAAAATATACAATATAAATGCTTTGATTCTGGTAATATCTCATTTATGGCACCTGTAGTTGTTTCTCTTCATAAAGTTCACCTGTGAATGTACGGGTTAGAATTGGTTTTCAGTAATCCATCCTTTTTGTAAGAAGTGACTAATGGGATCGGGTTGTCAGACTTACTGACTTGGTTGACACATGTCATCGTATCCTAATTGAGTAGATCGATGCTCATGAGGTTGATCACTGGATTGTCTGGTCCAGACTATATTATTGACAGACTGCAGCCATATAACTGGAATATTGTGAGTGCAGTGTAAAACAACTTTCAAACAAACCAAACTTTATGATGCTCAACAGACTGGGGGTATTTTCATATCACCCTGATATAAAGATATTCAGAAAGGGCTTTGTTTGTTTGCCGTGTGTGAAACACAGTTGCATTCCTAAGACCAATCCCACCACCAATAATAAGTGACCTGTCCCTAACACTTGTATATTAGAACTGGTTGGTGAATGTGCTGACATTGCCAGAGTTACATCCCTTAGGCAAGAAAACATTGTGGGGTCAAATCAGCCAAGAGGGATTTATTAAATGCCGGCCCGATGATCTAGTGATATGTTGGAAAACTATGAATAGACTTTTGTATGGAGATGGAAATCTGGAACACACAGATTTTCCTGCTTTGATTTTGTTTTTATGTTGTTAATCAGTAAATATTGACCTTGTACAATAAGACAGAGTATTGGTGATCAGTATTACATGTTTTGGTGAGGACTACTTGAGATCCACCAAGACCAGTTGATTTTGAAACTGACATGTGGTTATTGTCATGTATGAATTCATGTGGAGCTTTCTTTTGTTTTTGACTTTTATGTTATGTGAACAAGTTGGCTCTTAATTTTACAAATTAAAGAACAAGGTGTTCTGTATTTGTGTGAAAGCTCTATAAGAGGTTTTGTTTCTGGAAAATAACTTCAAAATATCTCCAAAATGTTTACTTGCTGTCTCTACCAAGAAAATCTGTAAAGCAAGAAATTATGCTTGTTTCCCTTTTCATTCCCGTAAGTTGCATTTCTTGTTGTACTGATTTGTACAGTGTGATAAGATGCAAGAGTAAAAATATATACATAAATAAGTTAACTTGATCATATTGTTGAATGGAAATGTGACAAAAGGCATAGTTCTATTTAAAGAAACAAATTTATCATGACTGTGTTACAAAACAGGTTCAGTCAAAACTGTATTTTGTTTTATTTGGATTTGAAACATTATAGCCTGATCAAAAACAAACCAGCCTTTGGTCCTGCAGCCAGAACAGGGACATCAGTAGGGATGGTTCTGTTAGGTTCTGCTGGTCCTTCCATTCTGACAGTGTTCTCACGTCACCAGCATCGTAGTGACAGTCATCTCATTATTAGCTTCCACACCTGCCTCTCTGGGGGTTTCACAGGAGGTGAAGATCTCCCCAGCCTGCATCACTTGGACATTCCTGCAACTCTGGAACATCACTGGAAGACACAGCATAAGATACAGCACTACACTGATCCCCGAAACTTCCAATCCTTGATGACACTCATTTATCAACCAAATGTTGGTAGACAATCAGCTGCGGTTACTGCTTGTGTTATGAGAGCTGCTTTTTAACACTTACAATTAGATAATTTGTTCCTATTTTGTCCTTCAGGATGTAAGTTACTTGACTCAGAACTGTAAACCTGATAAATGCATTTACTGTTTGTGTTTTCAAGCACTAGAATCATGAGAAAGAAGAGATGTTATTTATGATGAGGAACCTTTTTTGAAGGGACTTTACTCTTGTATGTTGTATATGGAGCAAGATGCTCATATATGAGTGGTTATGTAATTATTTAATTATCCTCCCAGCTGTTTAGGCGGGAAACTGTGGCGCCACCGTCCCCACGTGCCTCACTCTCTCCTGATTATGAGACCGACACTTGAATTTTCAGGGAAATCCAAAGTGTCTAAAGGGGAGGCTGGGAGGGCTTACCTCATGAGTCAGGATAAGTATAAAATATCAGTTTTATTCAGAAAATTACATATTTTTCCTTATCCTGACTCATGCTTATTTGCTTGTAGAATCCGACGGAAATGGCGGCGGGCAAGATACTTTGGATTCTATGTAGTGATTTACGTCTTCTATACCTCCCTATGGGAACTTCGAGTTGGCACTGTAATTAACTGCTAATCTCTGCTGCTGTTGCGACCCTGTCCTTCCAGCTGCCTTTATATGGGGGGACCACAATAGTTAACTTTTGGGCCTTCTTCTGTTAACATTTTATGTGGATTTTGCGACTCCATTTCTTGATGCAAGCACCAAGTGGAGAAGCGACCCATTCTTGTACAAGTATCCTTACAAGTACTGGGTCATATCACTTATGCTATAGTTTGGCATGAAATGCATGTGGACCCGGTTTTTTGTGAATATTTAAAGATTTTAACCTACAGAATAATTCTCGCTAATGGGTTTTGTGGTTAATGTTGAACAACTCAGAGAAACAAACTCCGTATGATGGTTAACAGTTGGCACCCACCTTACCCTATTCACGACCTGTGACACCTCTTCATACCTGTCACGTGCATAGCTGACCTACATTGACGAACGTTGACCTTTATGACCCAACACTGACGCTGTTACAGGTCATTGGCTCCCTCCCTCTGCAAGCATTCTGCGTTCTGCTGTTTATTTTGTTGACAGTTACATAGACAGATTCTTTAATACAAATGCATAAAATCGGTGATTTACAATGTGATTAGGTTGTCTGACAAAACATCCACTTGCACAGTTTGAGATCGATTGGGTCGTCGGATGAAGAGATATTTACAAAAAACCGGGTCCACATGCATTTCATGCCAAACTATAGTCGTAGACGTGCATTGCGACTTAAGCAGAACTCTGCTGAGTGAAAGCTTTGCAAGTCATGTGATAAAAGGGCGAGACTCCGTCTCAGTGCCTTTGTGGGACTGTCAATTGTTGTGCTACAATAAGAGGGCCGAAATGGTGAGTGTTCAGAGCCGTCCTCAGTGGCGATGTCCCTCAAGTAGTGGTTGGCAAACACCACGTCCCATTTCCAGAAGCAGCCCTTTCATTATCGACCTGATAGAGCGATTCCCAAGTAGAGCGAGTGTTGACGCCAGAGCTCTAACTTCATGAGGGTTGGAGGCTCTTGGAGAATCCAATCCTGCTGCTTTGTAGGCCCGTAGTATGACAGATCCAGCTTGATATCTCAGTGCAGAAGACCTCTGTCTGTGTCGCTGTTGATATCGTGACGAAAGGACACTTGAAATTCCGTCACCTGGACCTTGATCTTTGTCGGAAGACTTCAATGCTCTCACTGGGTACAAAGATAAGACCTGCGTATCCTGTGGTCCCAGGACTGATGATAGTGTTGGGATGTGGAACTGTCTGTCTGGAAGACCTGGCAGTAAATTCTTTGCTATGAAGTCCCATCTCAGTCCCATATGCACGCTGTTATGATTATCATCAAATCGTGTTATCTCGAAATTCCGAGCATGTATTTCCGACATCCTTGCTGCTGTTACTAAGGTTATCAGGAACAGCGTCTTCTGCGTCAAGAACTCGAATGATGTTCTCTGTAATGGTTCGTAGATCTTACTAGTGAGATGTCGTAGAATTACATTGAGGTACCACGCCGGAGCTTAAATTCTCTGATGTTGGTCCTCCAATTAAAAGGTACTTTTGTCAGTTGCACTCGTCCTCATGGCGATAACTGAACTCGATGCCGGTAGGTATGTTGAGGGTTGTGACCCTTTTAACCGCTTCCTTTATCTAGGTGATAAAGGAAGTCCGTCACTTGAGGATGTGTCACTATCATGGCTGTGAAGTCGAACCTCGAAACGTAACATTTGTCTCGAAGCATCACCACTTGTCGTCAGACAAGTTGCGTGAAGACTTGCGCAAGCTAGTGTGACTGCTTTCGCTGCACTGGCGAAATACCCTCTCTTGTTCAAGCATGCCTTGATACAATCCACACGTGTAGCCGGAACACCTCTGGGTTGCCGTGCGCCTACTTTGAGTGAGGATGTATTAGTAAATTCGTCCGCTCTGGTATTTGCAGTTGAGGCAGTCCTAGGTCTTGTATGAGAATATGAATAAGTTGAATTTGCATTTTTGACGATTTGTTTCGGTAAGTCCATACCGAAAGGCATCAGAATCTGCAAAGTTGTGTTTTACGTTGCATGTGACCTTTAACAATTTGCTGACAGCTTATGTATGTGAATAATTCGAGAGAAAATGAGTGAATGAGTTCTCTTTTTACGTCGCTTTTAGCAATATTCCAGCAATATCACGGTGGAGGAAAGCAGAAATGGGCTTCACGCCAAGAAAATAAGGAGAACTGTTATATCATTGAAGGACAAAAATATAAGGAAAACTTTAACTACAATATTACCTTCTTATCGCATTGAAATTCACAAAAAACATGTATAGAAAGGAGTGTTTGTTCTACCTTGATAGAAAACCAAATAATAATATGCCTTGAAGTACAAAAATCAACAGCAAAGAAACTCCGGTCATTGTCAGAGCTCATAAGAAGGCAAGAGAAGGATGCCAATATTGCCAAGGCAAAATTCGC